AGTTGAAAGTGGTGTAGTAATTAATGGAATTTTCACCCCGGTGCTCCCCCTCTCTACTCCATCGAAAAGAGTAACTTTGTCTAATAGGGATTTGGACTGGATAAATCCTTATTCCTTATGCAGCCAACCAAACTGGACTTATCTGGACTTCCTGCTTTTTACCAGAACTTTTTTAAAGTGTGGAGCCTTTTTCGGGTTCACGGGACTGAGAACGTTTACTCGCTTCATTGGCTATTACAAGAACCTTTAATCGCTGGGGCCCGTCTAGATGTCACCGCTCAATGCAATTTACCTGGTTACAGTTTTACACTCCACAAACACAGGGTGTTTACGTTGGGTCATTTGTTGTCTCTAACTGGACCTAATTTTGAGAATGTTGAAGCAGCTTCCAAACATATGGGAGTGAGATCTGTTCGTTCATTTTCTCGTTTTTTGACCAATGTAAAACTTTGTTTAACTGCCGAGGAAGTAAGCCTGTTAGAGAGTTTTTTTATGGGCGTTAGCACCCCCGAGTGCAATGATCCTTTTCCATGTTTTTTTGTTCAACCTAATTTTGATGATGACAAGTCTATTTGTAAAACAATATGAATCTCTTTCTTTGGATTTTCTTTCACGTGAAAGTAAAAAACTGTACAGAGTTTGCGTTTTGGTTCTTAATAAGAGCATTCTCGAGAAGACAATTGACTAATCTTGCAAAATGTTATTACAATATAAAATAATGGTTTCTATTTTATTATCCTTTAAAGTATAATTTATTTCTGTGATGCAAAGCTGAATTTCTATGGCTGATGGAAATTCAGCTTTGATCACAGGAATAAATTACATTTTAATGTATATTAAAATAGAAAAATGTTATTTTACATCATAATAATATTTCGCAATATTACATTTTTGATCAAATAAATGGAGCCTTGATCATAAGAAACTCCTTTAAAAAACATTAAAAATCGTTCTGATCCCAAACTTTTGACCGGTAGTGTATATGAAAGGACAAATGAAAATCTGTGAAAGAAAGCAAGCATTTTTAAACATGATAATTTTTTGTTTTATTTTAAAGCAAAGGAATGTTGATGTAAAATGATATAAGAAATGTTTTAAGAAATAAGTTGTGCAAGAACTAAGTTCTATGTGACTAATCAAATAGTACATTTGTGACATTGATCATGTGACAGTCAGACAGTTTGTTCTTCTCAAATCATGCTGGAGAACATGATCATCAGGTTTTCTTCATGTTGCTCCATTTCCTGCTGTCATTAAAGCAAAATAGAAATACTGAGACATTTACAGATTTGTGCGTTTTCAATTCAGCTTCTCTGAAATTATGCTCATAATATTGTATAATCAGAAATTTAGTATTAAAAACCATGCTAAATAGGCTGCATTGACTTCTGTTTCAATAGTCATTTATGTTCCATTGTGTGTCTATAAAACAAGCATTTTGTAAAGCTGCTTTAAAACAATATGTATTGAGAAATGCAATGTACAAATAATCTTTGACTGGATTGAATATATTTACAGTCTCACATGTTGCATGTTCCAAATGCATATATAGAGAAATATCTATAGATTCTATTGCTGAATGACCCTGATATCTCCCTCTTTCTGTCACTAGGGAGTTTGTGTTTCATCACCCAAAGCAGTCCGGCTCTCTGAGCGTGAGGAAGACTGAGGTGATGAAGAGGGGTTTGTTTTCCTCAGACGTGCTCCTCATCCTCCTGCCCTCTCTGCTCGCCTCACACGCTCTGACGCTGGGTCTGGGGTGAGACTTATGTCATATTTCATCATATCTTCTATTATAATTTTAATATCATTGCGAATCATTTGCTTTAAGACTGCACAGGAAGCATGTGCGCTCAATATTCAACAAATGTGTCAATGAGGTTTATCTATGTATAAATAGTCTGCATATATTGCCTTTTGTGCATTTCAATATATTACAGAATTAAAGGTAATCTGCATAAATAAAAGTGTATGGTTCTGTGGACGTATGGCCCATACAGCCCAATTGAAGTCATGTTTTACTGCGAGTCTATGGCTGTACCACTGATTTTAATGCAAAATATGATTGATGTTGACTGGGAAAGAGCCTTTAAACATGCCTTTTCTATGCCATCATGAGGCCTATTTGCATTAAAAGTCACACAACTGACAGCACTTGGAATTTAAATACACTGCCACACATATAGTGCTCATATATTACACATTTGCCATCCATAAGTGACAGCAATCTGTTTTTATTTGTTTGTGATTAGGAGTGCTTATGCATTTAAATGCATGAATGAATCCCCAAAATTGTCCTCTGCATCCTCTGCATGTGAATGAAATATAGAAGTGAAAATGCAATGATTGACATACGGATAATGTGATCTGCTGCAAGTGTATATGCTCTGTTCAAAAGTTTGGAGTTGATACGTTTTTTTTTTTTTTGAAGTCTTTTTACCATGGCTGCATTTATTTGATTAAAAATGCAGATATATTGTGAAATATTGTTATTTGAGTACATTTTTAAAATATAATTTATTCCTGTGATGCAAAGCTGGTTTTTCAGCATCATTACTCCAGTCTTCAGTGTCACATGATCCTTCTATCATTCTAATATGCTGATTTGCTGCTCAAGACTCAAGAAACATTTATTATTATTACCAATGTTGAAAACAGTTGTGCTGCTTCATATTTTTGTGGAAACCGTGATCATTTTTTAATCAGGATTTTTTGATTAATAGAAAGTTCAAAAGAACAGCGTTTATTTGAAATTGAAATAGTTTGTAACAGTGTACACTTATGGCGCTTTTCCAGTGCGTGGTACGACTTGGCTCGGCACGGCTCAGTACGGTATGACCAAGCGGCAACCTCCCGCTGTCTCGTGAAGCCAACAAGGAAGTGACTTAAACTGTAATTCATCAACT